GGGGGTAACTACAAGTCCCATCAGGCATTGCTGACAGCCACGACTCCCAGAGGAAGATGTATGATGGGACTTGTAGTTTCACCCCACAGCTGGAGGGTGGAGTTTGCTCACCCCCGGTCTGAGTGAACGTTTGCCCAATTCAGCCCTGAAATCCGAGCTCGGAGAAGAAACCACTTTGCTCTGCAGGACGTCGCACTCGGTCCGAACTCCCATTCACATTACAGGAACATTCTTCATTATGGGACAACAAGACCCATCGGATCAGATCCCAGAATTACACTCCGGGTTGTAGAAAACCTTTCATGTCTCTTCCCAGATCAGATGAACCTTCCGTCCCGAGCCCGGATCGGGTCCGACATCCTCCCCGGAGTGTGAGGAGCTAAAGGGGGCGGGGTCAGGAAAAGTCTATACCGGACCCACCAGAACCTTCTGACATCACACAGGCTGCGTGTACTCATGGACAAAGAAGCATCTAGACCCGTGGTTCTGAACTGGTGGGTGGTGATCCCCGTGTTTCGGGGGTCACCGCATACCTTCCCCTTACTAGGTAAGAGGCTCCTCTGTCTCCCCCTAGTGCCGGGATGGCCAAACTGCGCCCCTCCAGCTGTGGGGTGGAACTACAAATCCCATGAGGCATTGCAAGATTCTCACAGCCACAGACGTGACTCCCGGAGAGAGATGCTTCATGGGATTTGTAGTTTCACGCCCCACAGCTGGAGGGCCGGAGTTTGGCTACCCCTGCTGCAGCACTGTCAGTTCTCACGCCAAGCAGCCATTCATATGCTGCCCGGCGCCGAGTGCCAGCTTGAGGTGGGCTGGGGGTATGGCAGCGAGGGAACTCCACCCATACATGCGTTGCTTACAGCTCCCTCACGTGTCCTGTAGAGGTTCCTGGACCGGAGTGACGCCACATTCTGGATCCCGGCACCTCTACAGGGCACGCGAGGGAGCTGTACCAGCATTGCACATATGGATGGAGCTCCGTCACAGCCGCCCACACTGGACCCCGGGCT